CAATTATTTGGAAGCCTGCACTCACAAACAAAAAAATCTCCACACCATAAGCCAGGCAAACACCTGGGCACAAACAGATCCCCCCCTGATACCTCCAGCTCAAACACACCCCAACCAGGCACCCAGATGAAACCTAGCTTCCTAACAAATGATAGCCGTCCATTTACTCAGAGCCAAGCTGCACTAAAAGCCTCCAATACAGGAACTCAATGTTGCCAGCCAACCAAGACAAAAAAACCCACAAAACAGACAGAAGATATTGGAAACACCAATCAAGCAGAACACAGCAAACTCCAAGACCAATAAACACAGATCAAGACTCCCAACCAATCAGGATGAAGAAAAAACCATTCTGGCACAGCAGTAGGCTAGCCCCAAATTTAAAACTGAAACAACTGTAAAAGTCTGACTCACAGACGAACACAATACAGAAGCCTGATGATGGCAGATGAGATTCTGCCGAAACGTTGCTACAACTTTAAAAGCACAACTACAATGATGTGGGAAAATACCCGAACAAAGCTGAATACCATACATGTAAGTACCAGCGAAAACTTAAGAATGAATATGAATATACACACACACACACACACACACACACACACACACACACACACACATATCATGTAAAATCACTTCATGGTGTTTTCTATCTGAAAAGTTTGCTCTCCTCTGACATAATCAATTTAACTAAAAAATGCCAAATCTCCCTCAAATTAAAGACATTGGGTCCTAAGCTTTTCAAGAAGAAATGACGTTCACCATAAAAGCACTAAATGTAGCTTTATACACTGCTCAAAAGAATAAAGGGAACACTTAAACAACACAATGTAACTCCAAGTCAATCACACTTCTGTGAAATCAAACTGTCCACTTAGGTAGCAACACTGATTGACAATCAGTTTCACATGCTGTTGTGCAAATGGAATAGACAACAGGTGGAAAGCATAGGCAGATAGCAAGACATCCCCAATAAAGGAGTGGTTCTGCATGTGGTGACCACAGACCACTTCTCAGTTCCTATGCTTTCTGGCTGATGGTTTAGTCACTTTTGAATGCTGGCGGTGCTTTCACTCTAGTGGTAGCATGTGGCGGAGTCTACAACCCACACAAGTGGCTCAGGTAGTGCAGCTCATCCAGGATGGCACATCAATGCGAGCTGTGGCAAGAAGGTTTGCTGTGTCTGTCAGCGTAGGGTCCAAAGCATGGAGGCGCTACCAGGAGACAGGCCAGTACATCAGGAGACGTGGAGGAGGCCGTAGGAGGGCAACAACCCAGCATTAGGACCACTACCTCCGCCTTTGTGCAAGGAGGGACAGGAGGAGCACTGCCAGAGCCCTGCAAAATGACCTCCAGCGGGCCACAAATGTGCATGCGGATGCTCAAACGGTCAGAAACAGACTCCATGAGGGTGGTATGAGGGCCTGACTCCACAGGTGGAGGCTGTGCTTACAGCCCAACACCATGCAGGACATTTGGCATTTGCCAGAGAACACCAAGATTGGCAAATTCTCCACTGGCGCCCTGTGCTCTTCATAGATGAAATCAGGTTCACACTGAGCACATGTGACAGACGTGACAGGGTCTGGAGACGCCGTGGAGAACGTTCTGCTGCCTGCAACATCCTCCAGCATGACTGGTTTGGTCAGTAATGGTGTGGGGTGGCATTTCTTCAGGGGGCCACACAGCCCTCCATGTGCTTGCCAGAGGTAGCCTGACTGCCATTAGGTACCAAGATGAGATCCTCAAATCCCTTGTGAGACCATATGCTGGTGTGGTTGGCCCTGGGTTCCTACTAATGCAAGACAATGCTAGACTTCATGTGGCTGGAGTGTGTCAGCAGTTCCTGCAAGACAAAGGCATTGATGCTATGGACTGGCCCACCCGTTCACCAGACCAGAATCCAATTGAGCACATCTGGGACATCATGTCTCGCTCCATCCACCAACACCATGTTGCACCACAGACTGTCCAGGAGTTGGGGGATGCTTTTGTCCAGGTGTGGGAGGAGATCCCTCAGGAGACCATCCGCCACCTCATCAGGAGCATGCCCAGGTGTTGTAGGGAGGCACGTGGAGGCCACACACACTACTGAGCCTCATTTTGATTTGTTTTAAGGACATTACTTCAAAGTTGGATCAGCCTGTAGTGTTTTTTTCCACTTTAATTTTGAGTGTAACTCCAAATCCAGACCTCTCTAGGTTGCTAATTTTGATTTCCATCGATAATTTTTGTGTGATTTTGTTGTCAGCACTTTCAACTATGTAATGAACAAAGTATTTACTAAGAATATTTCATTCAGATCTAGGATGTCTTATTTTTGTCTTCCCTTTATTTTTTTGAGCAGTGTATTCTTCCTCTATTCCCCAAGTGTAGAATGAAAGCATCTTTCTTTTTCACTGAAACAGCTAAAACTGTCTTTTCATGTGCCTGCCAGCCAAAAACTCATGAGAAGGCTGCGCACAATTTGGACAAAGCCACATGCAATTTGGACAAGGGTACAACCTTGGGAAGAAGATTGGCACAGCCAGCAGCTACTTCCTGAACGGGCCAGGATGGGGACATCTAATCAGCAGCGGCAGAACGAAGACAGTGAAAATCAGTTGTGGGTAGAAAGGCTAGCAGAGCCAGTGAGTGAAGGACAGCCAAAGCATCATAGATTGGGTAGAGGAGAGAGGCATTTGGGGGAAGTTGAAGCACCCTGGAGTTATAAGTGCAGGAGGCTGCCAGGCACCAGAATTTTGATCACATGACTGTAAAGATTCCCCTTGCACATACATGCTAGTCATTTCCGGCTCTAGGGGGCGGTGCTCATCTCCGTTACAAAGCCGAAGAGCCAGCGCTGTCCAAAGATGTCTCCGTGGTCATGTGGCCGGCATGACTAAACGCTTGAAGGCGCACGGAACGCTGTTACCTTCCTACCAAAATGGTCCCTATTTTTCTACTTGCATTTTTACATGCTTTCAAACTGCTAGATTGGCAGAAGCTGCAATAAGAAATGGGAGCTCACTCCATTACACGATGCTGGGGATTCGAACTGCCAACCTTTCTGATCAACAAGCTCAGCGTCTTAGCCACTGAGCATGCAATTTGCATTTCATTTGAAGATCAAAAAATAGGGTTATATTCTCTCTACCTCCACTCCCCACTCCATGTGTTTATAAAGAACGTTATGTTAGGATCCAGTTGTAATTGTACCGTGCTACTTCCACTATGAAAATATAGGTATAGTGAAAGAAACAGGGGCATCGGTTCCCAGGAAATTGCACTACACTGGCCAGAGTGCTTATCAGCCTAGCTTGATATTATCTGCCTGATTGCCTGTAGCTTTCAAAATCTGTGTGTGTCTCTCTCTTACTATGTCACAATCACTAAAAAGGGCAAAGAGTGTTTTGGGGAGAAGGAGGATATGGAGCTAGAACAAACATACACATTCTTCGTTACATGTAGGAACTTTTAATTTTTTATCTCTCTTTTCCCAAAAACCTTGTTCCCCCTCCATTTCCCTCATCAGTTCTTCAACAGTTACAAAGAAAGAGCATTTCCTAATCATGGTACAATTTTCACCCTGCTAGAATTAATTGGTGTGAACTTTCTCTACCCATAGCACCTGCTAGCTCCTCCATTTGCTGAAAGAGAAGACGTAACTTTGCTTTCCTCCCTCTGCCCATTGGAAACATAGTTGTGACTCATTCCTGTTGCTGTTATAATTCAATTACATCTGTCTGTCCAAGAAATGTATATAAATGGATTCAGAGCTTGTTTAAATAAGGAAGAGAAGACACTCTGTTCTTAATTTAAATACGTTGTTCTCATCTCCAACTGTGCATTCAGTCTTTAGTTTTAAAATAAGTAAGGGGTTATATAAGTACTTAATTTTATAAGTAAGAAATTGGATGATTCTTTCCAGCCCGGCATTTTGCTGGTATTGATATAGTTTTAAATGAATCCTTCTTTATTTTTATTTTCCCTTTCATATCTTCTGCAGTGTTGGAAGGGACGAATGAATTTCATCCTTCTAAGGCCATTTGCTGAAATAGAACTTTGCAAATCATGTTTTTTTACCTCAGTTTTATACTTTTGCCTAAATGTAGGATCCTCGCCATTCGAATAGTATTCATCTTGATTCAAATACCTAGGGAATCAGTAGGTGGCACTCTATCCATCCGTGTTAAGAAGATCTGCTTCTTCTGCTGCGTAATCTAGTTTTTAGCCACAATAAATCCCATTGCGTCTTGTGTTAAATGTGGGTTAGATAAAGCAAATTTAATGTTATGGTCTCAAGAAAAAGGTTTCTTTACCCTGCCTAATTATGCACTACCTAATATAAATCAGAAACAGCTAATTTGGTGCAGTGATTAAGGCACCAGGCTAGAAATCAGGAGACTGTGGATTTATAGTCCTGTCTTAGATCACAAAACCAGGTGGTGACCTTGGACCAGTCTTTCTCTTTTATATTTAGAAAAGAAAAGGTAAGGACAAAACAATTGTGAAATACAGAGGGGGAGAGACAGACAGATAGAGAGACTTTAATACAGGTGGCCAGTGGTTAAAATGCATTACTGCAGGATGCCTCTGGCCACAACCAGGAGTTTAATCAAGGTTCACTTAGTTTTCCACCCTTCCCAGGTCATAAAATAAGGACCCAGGTTGTGGGGGTAATATGCTGACTGTAAACTGCTCAGATGGCTGTAAAACACTATGAAGCAGTATTTAAGCCTAAGTGCTATGGATATGAATATAGGCCAGGGGTGTCAAACTCAAGGCCCGCGGGCCAGATCTGGCCAGCGGAGTGCTTAGAACTGGGCTGTGGGGCCACCCTGGAAACAGTGAAGGACAGGCCCACGGTACCTCTGCCAGCAAAAATAGAGCTCTGCATGAGGCCGTCACAGCCGGAAATGGAGCTGGGGAGCCCATGAGTCATTCGAGTTGGCCACACCCACCCTGGCTACGCCCACCCCAGTCCTGTGAGGTCAAACAGAACCCTGATGCGGCCCTCAAGGAAATTGGGTTTGACATCCCTGATATAGGCATATATAAATAGATTTTGATTCCTCATATTTGATTCCTCACGAGAGATCCATATGCCTGAATATGATTCAAGTTTGTGTCCCAGGTTGTCTGAACTAGTGAAACTCACAGAAAATATAAACAGGAAGAAAAAAACACATTTTGAACATTCATAAGTTTTCAGCTGTGCTTTAAACATTTCCTAGCAGTTTCTGCCTCTCTTATACTAATAGAAACACCTACTTATTTAATGAGAATAAGATTAAGGAAAGGGATTACATCAAATAGCAAAGTATGTTAAGCAGAAGCAGAAATAACAGTGCATCGTGACATTTACTCTTCTGCTTATATATTTAACCTGCCAGAACCTGATGTCAGTTTGCAAGAAACAAATGCCTGTGATGTGAATGCAAACTTTGGACAGATGAACCTTTACAGTGATGATTCAGGTAGGACTTTTTCCCCTTGTACTCTGGTAAGCATGAGATGAAATTAGAAGCATATGCTCAGTCAACTTTTTCTTGCGATAGAAGCTTTGTGTTCATGGCCAAATGGTAGCAGCATCGGGGAGTGGGGGCTGCTGAGTTCTTTAATTTATGTTACTGCTTCCTCTGCCTACAAAAGTGTAAGTTGTCTGAACCATCTCCGTTTGTAGCTCGCAGACTCTTTCTGCCCAACAGTGCGTGCTTCAATTCTCCCATAATCCACATTGGTAACACTGTGGTTTTTGCAGCCTGTAACTTTTCTTTTCTCTCTGATCACTTTGCCTTTTGATTTTAGCTGCAGGTTTGCTAGATAATCCATTCACAATGTTATTTTATTTTATTTTCATTGATTTGATTGTCACTTAACAGGGGTCTTCAAACTTGACAGCTTTAAGACTTGTGGACTTCAACTCCCAGAGTTCCTCCTCCAGTCATGTTAGCTCAGGAATTCTGGGAGTTGAAGTCCACAAGTCTTAAACTTGCCAAGTTTAAAGGCCCTTGGCTTACAAGATAATAGGTATAAGTATAAACATGAGTAAGAATACAGGAAATAGGTATGAATAAATGGGGACTGTTAAGCCTGGATTCCCCAACGGGTGTTAAGGAAAACAAACTAAACAGAATGTGCAGCGAAGTCAGATAGGAAGACAGGTAAATGTGTGAGATAAGTTTTCTAGTTAACACGCAGTAAAAATACAGATACGCTTGTGCTATCAAAAATATAGTTTATTCCATTTAAGAATTATAGCATAGTCAAAATAACGGTCCATTAGTCATATATCAATTTCAGTCAAGTCTTGTCGGGGATACTCTATTTGCAAAGTCCGTGTTGAATAGCCAATGTCAGTTCACTTACAATAAATCAGTCCAATCTTTATCTTCTCTCCCTTGTGAAAAATCAACACTCTTTTCTCTCTCCCCGTTTCAGCAATAACGCAGTCATCAGTAAGCCAGAGAGAGAGAGCTGGAATTGCCTCGCTTCTTATATAGTGCTTTTACAATCACACCCTTAATTACATTCTTGCAGTTAAAGTTACACACACTTTAACTAACAAACCATGATACCTTATTTATTATTTTTACCCAAACCAGTTAGGGTAAACAATGTTATCCCTAACAGGGACAATAGGACAGGGATGGTAGGCACAATTGTGCACTTACGCACGCCCCTTATGTTCCCCACAAAGACACCCAGTCCCATCTATGATGCACACACACCCTTCCGATCATGTTCCGTGTGAACCTGCTCACAGAAATAGGAAATTTAAAGTTAGATATAAAAAAGAAAAGTGGTCCAGCAAGAGGAAGAAATAAAGATTCCTCCTGCTGGGTTCTTGTCATCTCTGTCACTCTTTTGACTGAGGTATAAATAGCCCTCGACTTACAATACTTCATTTAGTGACCGTTCAAAGTTACAACGGCACTGAAAAAAGTGACTTATGACCCTTTCTCAGACTTACGACCTTTGCAACGTCCCCATGATCAGGTGATCAAAATTCAGATGCCTGGCCACTTGTTCCTATTTATGACGGTTGCAGTGTCCCAGGGTCATGTGGGATCAGCTTCCGTGATCTCCTGACGAGCAGAGTCATTGGGGAAGCCAGATTCACTTAACAACTGTGCTAACAAATGCAGTGATTCACTTAACAACTATGGCAAGAAAGGTTGTAAAATGGGGCAAACCTCACTTAACCAATGTCTCACTTAACCACAGAAACTTCAGGCTCCACTTTGGTCTGTAAGTTGAGCACTCCCTGTACTCCTATATCTGGATCTACTCTAAACAGAATTGATATCCAGTACTGTACAGTCAGTTTCTTTGTCTATACTAGCAGCTATCTAAAAATGAGGGAAATTAATTCTGGAACAGACAGAACAGTGGTGGGATTCAAAAAAAAATACTACCAGTTCTGTGGGCGTGGCTTGGTGGGCATGGCAGGGGAAGGATACTGCAAAATCTCCATTCCCATCCCACTCCAGGGGAAGGATACTGCAAAATCTCCATTCCCTCCCCACCCCACTAACCTGCTTTCCAGCTCCGTTCTTCTGTGCAGGACAACAAAAGAAGACCCAGCTGATCAGCAGGGACTCAGGAGGCAGAGAATAGATGGGGGTGGGGCCTGCTACTGGTTCTCTAGAACTGGTCAGAACCTGCTGAATACCACCTCTGGGACAGAATTAGTATGATAAATAATACAAAATGATCTTGTGTGGCTACATGAGAAGGTGGCTTGGTCCTAACAGAAATCATAGCATCTAAGTAAGATCATCATAGTTTTAGCATAGATCAACGTGTAAATCATCTGCAATCGTATGGATTACTCATGTAGTGTCTATGCACAATGGTAAGTTCATTGGATACAACAGTTAGGAAGATAGGCAAAAATGTCATATTTCTTAAATGAGAACAATACATCAAAAGAAACTTTGGAATATTAAATTGCAAGTATCTGTATAGACTATCGTGGACTTTTGAGGTGGGTGAACCATAAGCATGCTTTAAAAAAAAAAAAGGCATGTAGATCTTTGTCTCCAGCAAGACTCTTAGAAAACACTCAACTTCTAGGGATTGATTCTACCAGCACTAATAATAGTATTTTAGTCATATGAATTGCTAGTTTCTACTTACAGTTTAGGTGGGAGTCATAACGCTCAAAGTAATAAATGCTTAAATAACAATTAAAAAGAATTGGGAAATAAAATACAGTAAGGGCATGCCTGTATCTGCCCACGGAGCAGCTATTTAATGTTAGACCCTGGACATTGCAAAATCAGATACATTAAAAATAAAAATAATAAAATGAGTATGCCTGGTTGACTGGGCCTCTAATTATCAATTTTTCGAAAACAGAAGAAAAAGAATGCTGCAACCTGGGTAACCAAAGCACAAGCCAATGTAACCCAGATCATCTGCTCTGCTTTGAGTGATCATGGTCATGATCCTTGCCCAAATTTATCCATCTCCTATCTCTGCCTACAGTCAGAGGGCTGTAAACTTTTCTTCCTAGCAAGCGGGGGTGGGATTCTTCCAGTTCTCACCTATTTGCTAGAACTGGTTGTTAACGTTCTAAGCAGTTCAGAGAACCGGTTGTTAGAAGAAATTACTGGCCTAATCCTGTAAAGAAGGCAGGAAGGAAACATTCTGGTGTTGCTTACAGAAACTGCCTCTCCGTTGACCCTTATTACATTCTTGGCAGGATTAGACTTCCTGTCTCAGGAATCTGTGTGGAGTTTGTTTCCCCTCCTTTGCTGGTACTTTGCTTTTGTGGAGTGACCATTCAAAGTTACAATGGTACTGAAAAAAGTGACATGACCATTTTTCACACTTATGACTGTTGCAGCATCCCCACAGTCATGAGAGGCCAGGCGAGGAGATGCGTGCCTCGATGTGAGTGATATTGAGTTGGCCACGCCCAGCCAATAACATGACCACCAAGCCACACCGACCAACTTAGCCACACCCACAGAACCGGTTGTTAAAAAATTTGAATCCCACCCCTGCTAGCAAGCCTGTATAAGTTTGAGCCCGAAGTATAGAAAAGGTTATGACTTTTGAGCGGGAAAAAGAGAGATGGTAATAAATATTAAGATTACAGAATACAGAATAACGGGAGGGACTTTGGAGGGCTTTTGGCCAGTCCCTGCCGAAGCAGGAGACTATATTATTCTGGACAAATGGCTGTCCTGTCTCTTAAAAACAGCTTCTGAAGACAAGCCTTTCCACTAATTAATTGTTCTCTCTGTCAGGAAATTTCTCCTTAGTTCTAGGTTGAATCCCTTTGATTCAACCTTTGATAAGTTTCCATCTATTACTTCTTAGCTTGCCCTCAGATGCTTTGGAGATCTCAAATATTGGAAAATTCTACCATGTCATCATCCCTAGTCTTCCTCTTCACTAAACTAGACGTAACCTTTGTCTTTTTTTCCAAAAATGTTTTTTTAATCTTTCTCTAATTACCATATTTTCATTTCAATCTTTGATCTATGCATTCTTTTTCCTCACCTTTGTTTTTGTCTCTTTTATTGCTTACTTTTTTAAAGAAAAAAATTAAAAAATATTAGCAGATAGTTTATATGGAAGAGTAATTAGGCCTAGATATAGTTCCATGCTCACTTGATCAAGTTACTATTCTTAAAATTAGATTATCTTCAAGTATCAAATTGTGGATAGGAAAACAAGAACAATATATATTTGAAGGGAAGAGCAGTAGATCTACCACACTTCACATTAAGTGCTGTACACTGGCTGTCTAACCATTAAGTAATTGTGGTGTATCACATTCTGAACAGGCAGTTCTGTTCATTTCTGCACGTTTCAATTTTGTTCTGCACATTCGGAACAAACAATGTTAATTATAGAAGATGGAATAAAACATTAAACCTGGGGATCATGATAGCATGTGCTTTTTTATCTTAAAATGGCCTTAGCTAATAATATAGCTAAAATGAAGTGGTTTTCAGAAAACAGTCTACATCTATCTAGCTAAAACCACTGAAGTGGTTTTCAGAAAACAGTCTACATCTATCTAGCTATCTCCATTCTTTATTCCAGGACTTGGGAACTTATGGCAGGAAACAGTTTAGTTAAAACTTTATGGCACTAGACCAGTTGTGTTGCTATTTGAAACTTGTATTGTCTAACAAAAATATCAGAACAATTCTAGAAAAAAAGAAAACCATTGTAGCATTACCGTAATAGATATCATTCACTCAGAGTCCCTAATAATGTTGTGAATAACAGATTCACTTTGGATAGCTCCATATAAGTCATACATAGGAGATGCCACTATTTCTTGACAGTTGAAGCATCATTATGGATTACACAGAATCCAATCTATAGTAGACCTTCTCCCCTCTCACATAAGTTATACAGTAGAACCAATAGTCACAACCGTAATTCGTTCCATAACCCAATTTGGTCATGACCGGAAGCAAGACTGACTGAGCATACGCTTACAAAAAAAAAATGGTGCGGAAGGGGAAATCAGCCACAGCCGTGTTTGATCACCACCCAATTTTTGAACCGTGACCAAATTCAAAAATGATGTGAATTTTTTGGTCAGATCCCGATTTGGTCGTGGTCAGAAGTGTTCATGACCAGAGGTTCTACTGTATAGGCACTACATGTCATGGTGGTGCAGTGGTTAGAATGCAGTACTACAGGCTACTTCTACTGACTGTCGACCTGCCTGCAATTTGGCAGTTCAAATCTCACCAGGTTCCATCCTTCTGAGGTCAGTAAAATGAGGAACCAGATGGTTGGTGGCAATATGCTGACTCTGTAAACTGCTTAGAGAAGATTGTAAAGCACTGTGAAGCAGTATATAAGTCTAAGTGCTATTGCTGTCTTGTAATAGTTAATGAGAAAGGCATGAACCAGTGTCAGTAACTCCTGCAGTAACTTCACCCCAAGAAAGGTATGAACTTTTGGGCTATCACTTTTCAGAGAAGGTGGCACCAATATCTCAGCCTTAGCACATGGTAACCTTTGTAGCTTAGAGATTAGGAGGACATTTCTGTGTAAGGTTTCCTCCAGAAGAATGGTCTTCTTGAATTCAGGTTCACTGATTCCTCAGTCGGTGCTGATAATTATCCATTTAATGCAGTGGCCCCCAACCTTTTTTGTGCCACGGCCCGGTACCGGCATCACAAAATGATCTGCAGCCTGGTACCGGCATCAGCACGCATGGCAAGGTGAGCCGAGCGACCGGCCAGCCAGCCGTCCCCCGCTTCTCCCCGCCACCTTCAACTCCTCCTTTGTACCTTTGTCGATAGGCTTCGGGACGGCTTCGGGACGGTCGCTTGGCTTGCTTTGCCTTGGGTGCTGAAAGAATCCTCGCGCCTTAGTTTTGTTCGAAGCCGCGCCCCCCCCCTTCGATGAAACTAAGGCGCGAGGATTCTTTCAGCACCCAAACACCGCTTTCCAACCGGAAAAGCTCGCCGGAAGCACTTTCTCATCAAAACAAGATGGCGGCACCCAGCAAACCAGCGGCCCGGTAGAAAATGTTCCACGGACCGGTACCGGTCCGGGGCCCGGTGGTTGGGGACCCCTGATTTAACGCATCTCTGTGAGGGAATAGGAATAACAATAGCACTTAGACTTATATATTGGTTCATAGTGCCTTACAGACCTCTATAAGCGGTTTAAAGAGTCAGCATATTGTCCCCAACAATCTGGCTCCACATTTTACCAACCTCAGAAGGATGGAAGCCTGGGTTGAACTGCTGGCAGTTGACGGAATTAGCCTGCAATACTGCATTCTAACCACTGTGGCACCATATCTTTCTAATAGCCAGAGAGGATATCAGGATATTGGGAAGAAGGAATAAAGTGGCCACAGACACATTCCTAACATTGAGGCTGGGCCACAAATTGGACAATTTTTCCAACAGAAGTGGTGATTATATAACAGCAGAAAAGATTTCTTGGATGATAATTTTCTGTAGCTCAAATAAAGCAAGCAGCTCTAATTAGATGTCCATTAGGAAGTATTATGCAAGCTTCAGTAAATGCTGTTAGCTTAGTCAGCTTTTAATGGAATTAGCTGTACAAAAAGGTATAGCAGTTCCTTATCAACATAATATGATAGACTTGCAGGGCTGGTGCATTGTGCAACAAGGTCACATAGTGTAATAAGATTGGGGTTGGATTAGGGACTTTTGTCCTCACTGTGAGTTGTGTTAGGGGGGCGGGCGGCACGAAGGGAGGCTCAGCCAATCTCATTGTACGCATGTTGTACTCTGACAGTAAAGATAATAATAATTATTATCCTATCTATAAATATCGTTATGATGATTTTCCTGATGATTGGCCTACATTGACAATTTTACCAGAAATAATATTTTAAAATATCAGATATTTTTCTGGTAATTTTTCTCTCATTCCAGTCTATTTTCTATATTCTGTCTATGTTTAGAATATGATAATATTTTAGACATATGTTTTAAACCATAATTATAGTGTCAACCCTGAAACTGGCAAGACAGTGGCCATCTTTCTATTCCACTGGGGTTTCTGTTTTTTTTCTTTTCTTCAAAGCTTTAGTGCTGACACAGACTGGAGATGAGGGAGAGGGAGAGAGGAGGCGTAGAGATCGCTGGGGTGCTATAGCCAAAACAGCATTCTTTCCCTTGGGAACCAAGGTCATGTGTACAGGTAGTTGGGAGGTGGAGACTGGAATCATCCATCGTTTGGGCTGTATGCTGATTGGACTATGTGACTGATGCCTTGGGGGAAGTGACCAACTTTTACTTTTAATTAAGGGGGAAACTGGCGTGACTTTAGAGCCGGTTTTCATCAGCATTGTGCCAATATGACATGCCCTAATAAAATGTTCTTTGAGGAAACCTCAGGCCTCAGAGTTCTTTCATGGGGGCGGGGGGTATTAGTTGGAATCCTGACATATAAGTTTTAAACTTTTTAAACTGTCATTATAAGTTTTAAAGTAAACAGATTAACAGAGCTGGAAGGGACCAATTTCCAGCTTCTGGTCCAACTCCTGCTCAACCAGGAAACCCTATATATACCATTTCAGATACACTCTTTGTCTTCAAAACCTCCAGTGTTGGAGCACTTACTAGGAGAAATCATCATAATTTCTTTTTTATTATTATTATTATTATCAATTATTTGTACTTTCTTTTCCTCTGCAGATCATGTTGAAAGTAGAGATCAAAGACCTTCCTCTGAACAAGAGCTGAGTCTGAGAGACTATCAGATGGAAGTGGCCAAACCAGCTTTGGAAGGGAAAAATATTATTATATGCCTTCCCACAGGCACTGGCAAGACTCGAGTTGCTGTTTACATTGCCAAAGACCACTTAGATAAAAAAAGAAAAGCAAAAGAGTGTGGAAAGGTTATAGTTCTTGTCAACAAGGTAAACCATCCGGTGATAAATGGTAACTGTCAGCAGTTACTGTTGTCCATGGTGACATCAAGATGGGAGTTCTGGGCTCTGCTTAGCAGAATGAATGGTGAAGTCCCAAAGTGTAAAAATGTTACCACTAGACTTTCTTCTCCCATGTCGTTTATTTAATCAAATGTATTGTGGCTGCCCACTCCAGAAGGCTCTCAGCAGAGCCTTACAACATTTTGTAAAGGTCAAAATCATTTCTGTGATTCATTGAATTATCAATTATTAATTATTAATTGCAAGTTCTGAAAAGGACAAATTCTATACTGATCTGAAGAGCCTCCACCCGTCTTCTCTTTGTGTATCTTCCAGACTGACCTTCAGTGGGAATAGCTAAGCAACTATCACTTGGTTTTGTAATCCTAATGAGGTCTTAAGTGAAATCAAGTGCATAAATCATGTCTCACAACATTTTTTATTTTATTTTTTGCCTTTGTGGAGCTGGGGTAGGCGTGGCCTGCATTTGGCCCACAGGTCACCAGTTCGACACCCCTTTCATAAATGAAGGATGCAGCTGTTCATGCTGGCCTTTCCTCAGAGGAATGGAGGAAATTCTGCCTCTGTTTGCTAGTATATAACTAGAGCTCTTTGGTTGATCTGGAAAAAATTCAGGAGTCCTGGTTGCATGAAATTTTTTGTACTTGTGTTGATGTCCTGTTACTAGGCTTAATTATTGGATACATATTTATTTACCGAATTCCTATCTCATTGCCTTCTGAACAAATTATCGGCAGAATATAACAAAGTAAAACACAAGACATATACCAAAAGACCAATACCTATACCCACTAACAATAATTAAATGACATCACCACTACAAACACTCTCCAGAAGAGTCCTGTCTTTCTCCTTGAAAATGAAAAACATCAGAGCTAAAGCAACCCCCAAAGGGAGGACCAGCCCAGAGGCCCAACTCCCTACAGTTGAAAAAAATGCTTTGGAGAACCCTCAACCTTCCCGAAATGGGAAACAACTAGCTGCTTTTCCCAGCACCATCAGATTCTGCCATAGAGAAAGGCAGCAATGCAAATAACTTGAGGCTGAGCCTACAGGTCTTTTAAATTAAAAAAAAGGCACTTTGAATTGGATTTGGAAGCTAATAAAGAGTCAGTGCAGGACCCCTCCCCATAGGACATCATATGATCCCACCAACTACTGCTGGTGAGCACTAGGCCGCTGCATTTGGCACCTGTTGAAGTTTCCAGGCTATATGGTAAAGGTAGCCTCACACACAGTATGTTGCACTAATCTAAATAACATAGCAATAGCATTAACACTTATATACCCTGCTTTATAGTGCTTTACAGCCCCCTCTAAGTGGTTTACAGAGTCAGCCTATTGCCCCCAACAATCTGGGTCCTCATTTTACCCACCTCAGAAGGAGGGAAGGCTGAGTCAACCTTGAGCCTGGTGGGATTCGATCTGCCAAATTGCAGGCAGCTGGCTATAGGCAGAAGTAGCCTGCAATTACTGCACTCTAACCACTGCGCCACCAAGGCTCTTTGCACCACCTACTGATACAAGGGTGTGAGCCTCTGGAATAAAGTCCTCCCGTCCCAGGTAAGACCACAATTGGTGCACCAAGCCAGAGTTGGGTAAAGGTATTTCTGGCCACAGTTCCCATCTCTTGATCAACCCAGGAGGCATAAGTAAACATTACAATAACCAAAGAGCTTTATGTAAGCAGCCTTTCTCATAGTGGCTTCTTCTGGATAATTGGATTTCAGGTCCTCTCATCAAAGGCCATGCTTGCTGGAGAACTGGAGGGGGAAAATGTTGGTCTAAGCCACGGGTGTCAAATTTGACTCTGTCATGTGACGTATCAAGACATATTGCGATGCTTTTTGCCTTTGCAGAACTGGGGTGGACATGGCCTGTGTGATGCATCCAGCCTGCAGGCCGTCAGTTTGACATCCCTGGTTCACTATCATGAATATCTGTTTAATTATTCTTTCTCTCTGTCTCTGTCTCTGTCTCTCTCTCTCTCTCTCTCATCTATCTGGAAAACAGGTGCCATTGGTGGAACAGCATTTAGAAAATGAATTTGGTCCCTATTTGAAGCATTCGTACCGAACAATAGGACTAAGTGGGGCGTCTCAGCTGAAATTTTCATTCCCTGAACTAATTAGAGATTATGATGTGATTATTTGTACAGCTAAGATCCTGGAGAATGCATTGGAGAAAGTTTATGAAGATGATGAAGAAAGAGTCCAGTTATCAGGCATGTATAAACAGCTGTGTAGATCTGAATACCAAATGTATTACAGCAGAAGTAAGCAAGCTGCAGTCCACCTACAAGAACGTCTTATTTCACACACAAACACACTATAATAACCACCAACTCATGTCACCAATATTCATGTTGTATGATTTCTACTTGGAGAACCCTCAAAAGGTTCAAGGTACATCTATTAGTCTTCACAAAGTTTAATATATCTTTTGAGCATGTAGGCCTCCTCCCAACAAATGCATTTTTAAAAAATATCAGTCCCATTTCCTACAGTATAACTAGAATAATAATGCTTGCAGCTGATGGAGATTGAAAATCACACCAAAAATAGTACGGTCCTAGGTGAAAAGTAACCCACCCTGTATCCTTCAAAAACACATTTGGTCCTAGTTGCCTCTTTTATTTGTGAAGGACTGCCAAGCCTGGGCATCAGTCTAGAAAATGTTTATAGGCTAAATTAGGGATCCATATCAGGTTCCTTCAGAAAATGTCCCCTCCATTTGTGGCTGTTTGTTGAGAGAGGAAGAAAATACTTCAGGCAGCCTTAGCATGGACCCAAGAGACAAAAGTGTACTCCAAGCAGAGAAACTCTGAGATGGCTCAAGATTGACTCAACCTTCCATCCTTCTGGGGTCGGTAAAATGAAGACCCAAATTGTTGAGGGCAATAGGCTGACTCTGTAAACCGCTTAGAGAGGGCTGTAAAGCACTATAAAGCAGTATATAAGTGTAAGTGCTATTGCTATTGCTATGTTCAATGATTGAGGTTTCATTCCAGCCACTTCTTCTAGGCTACAGATTCTGCAGCCTGCCATGGAAGTACAGATAGTCCTTGTTTATCAACCACAACTGGAACTGGAAACCCAGTCATTAAGTGAAATAGTCACTAAATGAACCCATAACTGTGCTTATAAATCTTGCTGCAGCTTTCTTTTGCTTTGCAGACCTGCAGAGGTCTTGTTTAATTAATTAATTATTTAATTTGCTGTCATGCAACCCTTAACTGCAAACACTGCTCTCAGAGTTACTTCATTACTGTTGTAACTGCAAACTGTTGTTCAATGAGGACTATCTGTCAAACTCCTTAAAGTTCTACATGGGAGGATTAATGGATAGGTACTATATACTGAGAATTTGGCATGGTTTGGAAGACTCAGTCTCTCATTGATGTACATATGGATAGGCGCTATAGCAAAATAACTTTGCAGAAATTCCTTGCCTTGGCTAAAGCTATGTTGCTTTGGGAAATAGTAGTTGCAGATTCAGCTTGGTTGTTGTTTTTTTAAGTGTTTTTCTGCTGATCAATTCTTGATGAGAACTAGCCACTTGCTCTTCTCTCCATCTTCCCTCAGCCAAAAGAATTGCCAGTTAAACAAAGACACAGCCGAGGAATCTTAACCTAACTTCCAGATGGCTTAAGTTTTTGCTGACTGAAACGTCTTTCCTGATGATACTGCCAAATATGTTTTATATCATAACTAATTGTTCAAGTCAATAGTCCTAATTGCATAGAGCAAAAATGTCCCAGCCTGCTAGTCTCTCTGTTAGATTTCAGTACAATTCCCCCCTCCCCAAAGGTACTATACACACATTTGAATGAATATGGAGTTCCCTTGTAAAGAAGATATTTTAATTGCAGGACTTCTAAGACCCTGTCTGGCCAAACACGTTTACTGACCCCTTTGCAGTTCTATGTACTAAATGTGCAAAGGATCTGTAAATAAGCAGAGACCACATAGACTTTCAGAGGTTAATATTGGCTTGCCCATGATCTCCATCTGTTCAGTTCTGATATAGGAATAGCATCAGGCTATTATCTGTCTGTATATTTAGAAGTATATCCCACCATTTGAATACACCATGTAAAATGACTCGAAAGCAAGCAAGAAATGTTAAGAAAAGCAAGGAGCTGATGTTACCAGTAGAAGAAGACACCTGTAGCCCAGAGTTGAGCTGTGGACTCCTTGATGCTCCCTGAGCTTGGCTGTTTGCTTGCAGATGTTTCATTATTACCTAACTAGATAACATCATCAGTGCTAATGATGTGTGGTTTGCCCCCTGTTTGGATATAGTAGTCCGGTCTGCTAGTATTGTGGAGGTGCAGTTTTCTTCTTGTAGTTCTTTGATTAGAATATTGTTTTCTGCTTGATTGTCTCCTTAGTAGTTCCTTCATTAGGGTTTGGGGCAGGGGTATCAAACTCGAGGCCCATGGGGTGCTTAGATCTGGCCCGCTAGGCCGCCCTGGAAACAGCAACCTGGCCCATGGTGCCCCCTCTTTCAGTGAAAACTGAGGTCAAGCACCCGTTTTCACTGGCAGAGGATTGCAGGAGGCCATTGCAGCTGAAAACTGAGCTCGGGAGCCCATTTTCGATGGCAGAACCCTCAGGCCACAGGCACCCTGACACGAGCTATGTCAAGCTGGCCACCACCCCCCCTCAGGTCAAGCACAACCGTGATGCAGCCCTCAATGAAATTGAGTTTGACATCCTTGGTTTAGGGTATTAGGATATAACAGTACCCAATTCAAGTAAATTCTAAGGAAACAAAGAAGCAGAAAACAATACCCTAATTAGGGAACTACTAAAAAGAAGACCACACTCCTCCACCAACACCGGCAGGCCAAGCTACTCTATTTAAACAGGAAGCAAACCACACACCCACTACCACTGATGATGTTACCTAGTCGGCCAGTGAAATGCTTACAAGGAAACAACCACATTCAAAGGACTCACAAGAAACAGTCTGATCAAAAGCAAAGTAGTTTGTTATACTACAGTGCATATGAGCTACAACCAATTTGCACAACATGTCTTCTAGTGTTCTCCTTGATGATCATTGACGAATGCCATCATACCCAGAAAGAAGCTGTCTATAACAATATAATGCGTTACTACTTAAAAGAAAAAAGGGGAAATGAGAAGCGAAAGAAAGAAGGAAAACAACTGGTGGCTCAGCCTCAGATTCTGGGGCTGACAGCCTCACCCGGAGTGGGAGGTGCAACGACTCATTCAAAAGCAGAGGAACATATTCTAACAGTAAGTTATACACGATCATGGAACTGTGGCAAATATTTTGCAAGAGCAAACTTTTTCATTGCTGGTTATAAAGTGTGAGATCTTGCTTGGAGCAGAGAATGGCTTTGCTGTACTTCTACTTTTGCCTCTCAAGCAGATTCAAGATAGTGTTGCTTGGAGACAGTCACGCCTCAAAATGCAACCTATTAAGTGGTTAAGTTAATAACAAGGTTGGTCAGTGAATCAGGCTTCCCCATTAGTGTGCTTGTCAGAAGGAAAGGTGATTACATGACCCCTGGGACATTGCTAGTGTCATAAATACAAGTCAGCAGCAAAGTGTCTGAAATCTGGTCATATGACTGTGGGGAGGCTCCAAAGTGTGAAAAATGGTCGTAAGTAATTTTTGTCAGTGCTGTTGTAACGTTGAACGGTCGCTAAGTGAATTGTTGTAACTTAAGGACTACCTGTATCAAAATTATTTCTAAAATCCCTATTCATTTTGCTTGCATTTAGAGCAGTGATAGCTAGGTTTATGACTTGCAAAACCCTGGTTTTATTTGGTTATACAATTTAAATGAGTCACAGTGTCTGGATTCATGTGTCTCACCAAATTATGAATCATGATTTATAAACTTCCATGGCTAGGCTCTCAATAGTTCCTGCCAAATCCAAAACTGCAATACATACACCCTTAAGGTCCAGGAGGAAAACTGGGATGTCAGTCTAATAAATAAAAAGAAAATTACGTGTATTACTCATTGTAGGACCACGCAAACCCAGGCAAATTCTTAGTAGGTTTGATAATAACTCCTCAAAGGTGTTGACTGATTTCCTATGTGAAAGTAGAGTCAGGAGAATGTGCTGCTGCTGAACATGTTACTGTCTAGGCCAGGGACGTCAAAACGCAAGGCCTGTGGGCCACATCCAGCTCATGGGCTGCTTAAATCTGGCCCACGGGGCTGGCCTGGAAAAAGGATTGGCCCGCAGTGCCTCTGCTAGTGGAAATAGGGTGTGGGGAGCCCGTGAGCAGACCCCCCTGTTCCCTGTTTTTGGCCTGGATGGCCTCCTGCAAGACTCTGCCATCCAAAATGGAGCACAGGTTCCACCTGCGGCCCTCCTGTGCTCTGTTCTGGCCAGCAGGGTGTTGCAGGAGGCCGTCCAGGCCAAAAACAGGCCCTGTTTTGGTTGGCAGAGTGCTGCAGGAGGCATCTGTCCCATCTGCCATCCATCCCATCTCCCCACCACCACCAGCCAGCCCACAGAGGACAAGTACAATGCTGACCCGGCCCTCAAAGAAATCCAGTTTGACACCCCTGATCTAGGCTAACCTGCCTTAAATGTATCCCTCTCAAGAAACAATCGAAGAGATGCTCAAGGGTGGCTCCTCAGATGCTTCTGCACCAGTAGGCAATGAAAAGTCACCGTTAAGGTTGTATGCCATTTGTTTCCAAAACACCGCCCAGACTTAACCATCCCATAACTTAAATAACTTTCCTTCCTCTAGATATGTGCCAACCTGGATGCAGATGAGATTGTGACTGTTCAAGAGCACAGCGCGCAACTGCAACATCAAGCAAAAGAGCCTCTTAAGAAATTTGAGATTACAGACGACAAAAAGGAGGTACGGATTTTTGTTGTGCTTTATGTGATCATGTAACTATAGCCTGGGGTGGGATCTGACAGGGTTAACTACCAGTTCGGTCATTTACAAGGTTCGGTGATTTACGGTGTGCTTCCCTGCACGCTGTGAGCCGCATGCATGTAAATCGTCATCAGCATGCTGCGTGCAGAGAAGCAGCCTTTCAAAAAGCCCTCTTTTCCTGCTTTTTTAACTGCAGCTGTGCCTCGTTCGGCAGCTGAAGTTGAAAAATCAGGAAATAAAGATCAGGTAAGAGCCCGGGTGGGCGGATGGGCAAAAAGATCAGCAGACATAGAACCGGTTCTATGTCTGCTGCTCTTCAGAGCTACCAGTTCTACAGAGGTGGACAGAACCGGTAGAAACCCACCCCTGACTATAGCATTCTGTATGGCACCTTATTTTTATTTATTAAAAAAAGACACACCTACAGATGTTAGCTTACTCTTTCAGAAAAGAAAGTTCTCCTTTTTCTTTATGAGAAGAACTCAAAACTCGAGGAAGATTCCATCTTGGTTCTTTTTGCACCCGTAGCCCCTAAAAAGAAAAACATATGTGACAGATTGCACATAGGGAGATAGGAGTAAATGGTCCTCCTGGAGCTATGGCACACTGGTTAGAATGTAGTATTGCAGGCTGATTCTGTCCACTGCCAGGAGGTCGATCCTGAAGGGCTCAAGGTTGACTCAGCCTTCCGTCCTTCTGAAGTCGGTAAAATGAGGACTCAAATTGTTGGGGGGAGTGCATATGCTGACTCTGTAAACTGCTTAGTGCTGTAAAGCAGAGGTTCCCAACCCCTGGGTTGTGGCCCACTAATGGGACATGAGCTGTTCAGAACTGGGACACAAAAGCTGCAGACGAGCATGTGTGCGCATGCACATGTTTCAGTTGCGCAAGCAATGAACTCATGTACCCACAGCTCACGCAAATGGACTGTGCACCCGTACATGCGCTTGCCAGCTGCTTACGCAGAACTATCGCCTTTCCCTCTCCCCCGCCATTCCACAAAGCTGTAAAAATTGGGGAACTCTGCTGTAAAGCACTATGGAGCAGTTTAAATGCTATTGCTACTGTAAAAATCATAAAGGTAGGAAAGTAAGAAACAAATACAATTAAAAAATAAAACATTTCAGTGAACCGCCTTCTCTCTCCCACATTATACACAAGAAAATATCCTGCTAGGTCATCCCATTCCTCCAACCTCTTATGTATGACCGCATTCATATTGTTCAAAGGTCATACAGTGGAACCTCGGGTCATGAACACTTCTGACCATGACGAAATCGGGTGCTGACCAAAAAATCTGCTAAATGTTTCACTCTGGTCATCCCCAGGTGGCAATCAAACAAGCCACGGCTATTTTCTCTGCTGTGCCTTTTGGGGGGGTGGCGGGGTCCAGACATGCACAGTCAGCCTTGCTTCCAGTCACGACCAAATTGGGTAGCGGTCATGACCGGAGGTTCCTCTGTATTTGACTCTGAGACTGGAGACTGTTGCCCCACACATCTAGTTAAGATTTGTTTTTAATATTACTCCTCCTGAAATGTGAGATGTTTTCATTTCCTTTCTCAAATTTCATTAGTTTTCATTATATGTATGCATACAATCGATTGCTTCAGGGATCCCCAACCCCCAGGCCGTGGCCCACTATTGGGCCGTGAACTGTTCAGAACTGGGCTGTGAAAGCAGCGGGTGAGCTTGCACAAGTATGGGTGCATCCCCTCTTGCATAAGCAGCGTGCAAGCAGTGTGTGTGCTTACCAGCCATTTGCATGGTTCACAAGCCAGTTGGGCTTATTACGAGCATCCTGAAAAATCATGCTAGGCCTTATTTTCTGGCTGGGTCTTATTTTTTGGGAAACACGATAGAAGGCAGAAACCACAGGAGATAGACAGGATCTCAAATAAGAAGGCCCTATGCCGGTTCACAAACCAGAAAGGTTGAGGGACTCTGGATTCATTGATCTGCTGTGATGCAATGTTTCTAGTATTTTCCTCAATTATAAATTAAAACAAGATTTACTGTGATTTTGGTTGAATATCTATTTAACTGGAGGGTCTCTAACAAAATTTAGATATGGGATAGTATGAGGATTTTTTTCCTGAGCGGGGTGCAGGTGTTAGACTAGTTTTCCAAACTGCTGAGCTTCCCAGAGTCAGTTGGGACAGCGAGATGGGCAGTATAAAAATTTAAGAAATGGGCAAAGATCCCTTCTAATCCTACAATTGTTCACTAATGTCGTGCTTTACATTTTAGGATCCATTTAGAGAGAAACTCGTAAACATTATGACTGAGATTCAAGGCTATGGCCAATTCAGTCCAAACGTTGATTTTGGATCACAGGCCTATGAACAGTGGGTAATTCAGGAGGAAAAGAAAGGTAATGTTTACATTCGATTACTACGTGGTTATAATACATTGCTAAACTAGATGTCTGGGGTTTTCCTTAGACCTTTGCTTGCTTGTTTTCTCAGTGCTTGTTCTGTTTTCTAGCTGCCAAGGAAGGAACTCGCAAAGAACGGGTATGTGCAGAACACTTGAAGAAATACAACGATGCCTTGCTGATTAATGATACTACCCGAATGATTGATGCCTATAACCATCTGAAGAACTTTTATGAGGAAGAAAGGAACAGAAAGATGGTAAAGGATGAAGATAGGGAAGATGGAGTCACAGCCTCACAACTAGATGAGACTGATACATGTCTTATAGAGTTGTTTTATGGTAAGCATGAGCCATTTGGGATTTCCTGTCTACACTTTTACAAATCAATGTACGCTATTAAAATGAGAACCAAAATTTCTTGCAGTTGGATCATTAAGTAAGGCTGGTCTGTAACAAGTGGCTTGATCACGCTCCACATGCATTTTTCATTCATGTTGATAAAATTTCTGGTTTTCATTAAAACGGGGGATATAAACTTCCTAATTTTCTCAACTGCTATTTTAGCTGAAACTCAGGGAGGAGTAATTTAGGAAGTTCTGTGGATAGAGATTTGGGCAAGCTGCCTTCTTATTCTCAAGGCTATTAGCCTGATTTAATTATAACTATAAACCATGTGCTCCCAGTGTAAGCAGGTAGGAATCTAAGGGTTAGGTTTCTCATAGCTTATTACTTTTAGGTAAATCTACACTACTACTGTTTGCTGTGAACATATCCAGACAACAGAGCCTCTGTCAGTCTCTGTTGTATAAATTATATTAGTTCCCATTATGGTTCCAGTTGCAATTCAAATCACTGTTTATTACCTATAAAGGTCTAACATGGCGTAGGGCCTTGTTATTTGAGATCCTGTCTATCTCCTGTAGTTTCTGCCTTCTACTGTGTTTCCCAAAAAATAAGACCCAACCAAAAAATAAGCCCTAGCATGATTTTTCAGCATGCTCATAATAATAAGCCTACTCCAAAAATAAGCCCGTTAAGATTGTCAGCCCTGTGGTGGGCATGGCCAGTAAAGGAGATAGTGAGCACATGGGGGCTGTTGGTGTCCAGCAGCAGCCTACTGGCCTCTTGGCCGGCACACTCTGGGGCTGCGGAGCCCGCACAGCGCAGGTGAGTCCAAGCGATGTGACCACCAGGCCAGTCCTCCAAGCAGCAGGTGGAGGGGGAGGCGCGGGGGAGGCACGGGATCAGGCCCACCGGATGCACCGCCCAGCCACCCACCCACTCCATCCTGCCCTCTATCTTTGTTTGGCCGCTGTTGCAAATGGATGATGGTCTTTTTGAACATGATCTGCTGATTCTTTTGGATATTTTGGACAACAATCAGTGTCAGCCAGCATGGCTCATAATAACATCCTCTAATTCTTTCAAAACATAATTACTTAAATATTTTATTCATTTACATTTGTTCCTGAAGACAAACAAAGAGAGCTGGAAGAGTTAGCACAAAAACTACAATATGAAAATGAAAAACTAACGAAGTTGCGCACAACTTTAATGCAACAATTCACAAAGAACAATGAACCCAGAGGAATTATTTTCTCGAAAACTCGTCAAAGTGCATTTGCTATCTATCGGTGGATTAATGATAATCCCAAATTTGAAGAAGTTGGAGTGAAGGCTCACTACCTCATTGGTACAGGACATAATAGTGAATTTCAGCATATGACTCAGGTAAAACAAAAATATAAAGTCTATTGCCAGATTTTCTTTATTTTTCAATTGTGTAGGTCCCCAACCCCCTGTCATAGCCTCCTACCAAACCATGGTATTTGGATCCGGGCCATGCAAGAAATGGGCTAGTGTACCGCACAAGTGGCTCTCCAAAGGCTTCTCGTGTGAGTGAGCTGTGCTCGTGCATTTGTCAGAGCTACAACTCTACTGTATTTGGGTAATCTGGATATGTTGGAAATAGCAATGAATAGGAATGAACCAGATTTACTCCACGGAGCCCTTGGTGCTCTCTGAGCTTGCTGGTTTTCTTGCAGACATTTCATTACCCAACTAGGTAACATCATCAGTGCTGGCAATTTGTTCTTCCTGCTTAGGCGGGGGAAACCTGTGGCAGCTTTATAAGTTTTTTTTTAAAAAAAATGCTTTACAATTGCCTTTAATTCAAAACATAGTTTGTGACATTTGAGATCTGAGAACAAATGCTTCATGACTTAACTCAAGTTGTAAGAGAAGTTCGTCGTGCTGTCATTCCATTTATGAATGTAACAACAACATGTTTCTACAGAATGAACAAAAAGATATCATTCAAAAGTTCCGTACTGGCAAAATCAACCTACTAATTGCTACTACCGTAGCAGAGGAAGGCCTGGATATCTCACAGTGCAACATTGTTATACGCTACGGTCTTGTTACCAATGAAATAGCGATGATTCAGGTAATGTTCCAACCGTCCCATGCTTTTTTGCCCGTAAGTTTATCAGATAATCAGATTACCATCTTCTGCTTTAACCACAACACCAAAATGGCTCTCTACAGCAACGTAAAAAGCATTTACAATTTCATTCTATCAATAAGGCAGGTTGCTTATCTCAAGTGCCCAGATATAATATATTTGGGCTTCTGCTCTGTAGCCCATGAAGATATGTGCACCTGTATATTTTTGTAATTGGGACAAATAAGTTGAGGGAGAGACATTGGTATGGCACAGGAGAAACAGGCAACTCTCTCCCTCCATTTTATCTGAGTTCTCCTTCTACCCCATATTTCAACTGCTATTTAAATCAGTTTTAAAATAGATTTTAAATTTTATTGGCAACAGTAAAAAAAAAAAAAAAAAAAAAAACCTCCCTTTTTACGAGCCTGTAGGGTTCGGATAGAGTCTGAGTGGATGGAGCTGAGCATTTACTGGCTGGATTCCCTCCCTGACGCCACACAGTTCGCAGTATATATTTTCTCTTAGCCGTAAGAGAGAAACATCTGCCGCTACCTCAGATTGAATTCTCAAGCCCTTCTGAGTGGGAGGCGAGCGTCTTCACCACTAGGCCGTTCCTCAGGCTTTATTAGAAACAGTAACTACATTTAATTAAGATTCTATGTGCCAACTACTGGAAGACATTTTCTGTCGTCTGGATGGGTTGCTAATTTCTGAAAGTACACGGCAAATAAATATTGAAACCAAGATTCATATTCCAGGAAAGCTCTTTGGACACTTTCCGAGAAGGAGACAAAACACACCTAACCTCCTACGTGTGAGTTCCTAATTATTTTATTTTAGTTTCTTGTTTCTTCTAGGCTCGGGGAAGAGCTCGAGCTGAGGAAAGCATCTATGTGCTTGTAGCTTCAGATGGATCGGGAGCTGCTGAACGTGAAAATGTTAATATGTTTCGTGAGAAAATGATGCACCGAGCAATTAAGCGTGTCCAAAACATGCCACATGAAAATTATTTGCATAAGGTATAAGGCCCACACCATTGGTGTGACCATTTTGGTTCTGAAAATACTTCTCTCCTTTTTTTTTTTTTTTTTTGCTTGCTGTTACTTATTTTTGAAAAGCCTTGGTGTTTTTTTTTTTTGTTCAAAAGCGTATGTGAGCTGCTTATTTATTCAGAAGCAATCTTTCCTTTGCCTGACTCTTGTCCACTCCCTTCCCAGGGATGGGATCCGACCGGTATAACTACCGGTTCGGTTGCTCTGCATCGCGCAAGTGCAATTTATGACCTGCTGAGCTGCCCGGACAGCTGAGCAGCGCTGCATGTGGGTGCGCAGGGGTTGGAAGAGCCCCTTTTTTCTGCTTTTTCAACTGCAGCTGTGCCACGCAAAGCAGCTACGGTTGAAAAAGCAGGAAATAAAGGACAGGTAAGAGCCTGGGCGGGCGGGTGGGCCAAAACAGCAGCAGACACAGAACCGGTTCTGTGTCTACTGCTCTTCAGAGCTACCCGTTCTGTAGAGCCGGATAGAACAGGTAGAATCCCACCCCTGTCCCTTCCCCTGTAGAACCAGAGGTGGTATTCAGCAGGTTCTGACCAGTTCTGGAGAACCGGTAGTGGAAATTTTGAATAGTTCGGAGAACCGGCAAGTACCACCTCTGACTGGCAATATTACAGTATCCTTCCACTGCCACACCCACCAAGCCATGCCCACAGAACTGGTAGTAAAAAAATTTGAATCCCACCACTGTGTAGAACATAGAGATTTCAAGAGAGTAAGCTCTTCTGCACATCAAATGCAATGTGATTATGCTCACAAAGGAGAGATTGCCTGCAGAAATCACTTGATTTCTCCCACCCTGTCACAGAGTGGAGATATTGGAGAGAAAGAGATTTCAAGAGAGTATTGTCAACTGTTTGCATGGCACACGGTGGCATGATTGCATTGCTTTTCATGTGTACAAGACAGTAAGTGGGCACTTGAGCCTTCCAAAAGATAAGGAAGGGGTTACGAGGCAAAAAAATAAAAATAAAAAGTCAAAGATGTGAAACTAAGTAGTCTTGTCTCTTCCTGGCTGAAAGCACACTTACAGTCACATGATGTCCCATTTAGCCACTGCTTCACTTAGTGGCACAGTTAGGGTCTTAAACGAGGATGATCGATATTGTAATATATTGTAATGTAATAAAAACATTAAGTATTTAGACAATTACTTTAAGGCATGAAAAAGGAAAGGTTTTTTTTTTAATTATTCCAATTTTAAAATAATCCAACATGAATTTTCCTGGATGATATGAAATTTTAGTTGGGAGTTATTTCCCAGTTCTGTCCATTCCTTTGCTAGATCAAAGAGCTTCAGCTGCAAAGCTGCATGGAAATGAAAATGAAGGCAAAGAAAGAACAATTTAAACAGTACAAGGAGAACCCCTCCCTGATCATGTTCCACTGCAAAAACTGCAAGGATCCAAAATGCTCAGGAGACGACATTCAAGTTATTTTAAATATGCATCATGTCAACGTTAAAAAGGAATTTGCGTAAGTCCATCTTTGTGTGTGTATCTGTTTGTGTTACAATCAGGGTCTCTTGTCCTGATTGAACACAGAACATCAGAGTTGGAAGAGACCGTGGGTCAGAGGTGGTATTCAGCAGGTTCTGAGCAGTTTTGGAGAACCGGTAGCGGAAATTTTGAGTAGTTCAGAGAACCAACAAATCCCACCTCTGACTGGCCCCGCCCCGATCTAGACTCTGCTTCCTGAGACCCAGCTGATCGGCTGGGTCTTCTTTTGTTACCCTGCACAGGAAAACGGAGCTGGAAAGCAGGCTAGTGGGGTGGGGAGGGAATGGGGATTTTGCAGTATCCTTCCCGTGGCGTGCCCACCAAACCCCACCCACAGAATTGGTAGTAAAAAAAAAATTGAATCCCACCACTGACAAGGACAATAGATTCAGGCTTGGGTTGTCATCCCAGTGCTTTTGACTTAGGAAATGTAGCTGGTATTGAACATCATTGCCCCTTCAGCCAGTTCATTTTTTTTTTTTTCATAGCTTCATTTTATTCCTACATCTGACTAGTGAACTTCTAGAGCTCACCACAAAGCTAAATACCACACTAGCAAAAGAGTGAGGATTTCTGGCCTGTTGTCTAGGTGACTCATCCAGCAGATAGGGTTGAATCTACAGGAAGTGTCAGTGATGCTTATCTGGTGAGATTCTGGACTCCTTCCTGCCTATAGGAAAAACTAGTCATAACGTCTTCCTTTAAAAAAAAGAAAAAAGTAAGTAAATTGTTCCATTTTTTTCACTTCAGAGACCTTTATATCGTAAGGGAAAATAAGACACTGCGAGCAAAAGAAGCAGATTATCAAACAAATGGGGACATTATCTGTAGGAAATGTGGCCAGGTGAGTGTCGGAATTGATTACTGTAATTTGGGTATCTTTGGGTTAGTCCTGGGTTGGATTCTCCAAATAGTGCTGAGCCACCTCTCCCAAAGACATAATCCAATCCCTTTGGATTATGATGATGGCTGGGAATGGGAGTCCAGCAACATCAGATTCTTGTATAGGTATATTCCTAATATGATTTTCTCACTTTTTTTTTTTCCAGATTTGGGGAACTATGATGGTATACAAAGGTCTAGATCTTCCTTGCTTAAAAATAAAAAATTTCGTTTTGCATTTCAAAGATAAGAAATGCACCTCAAAGAAAATTTACAAAAAATGGAGTGAACTAGCCATTAATTTTCCAGCTTTCAATTATGCAGATCATTATATTTTTAGTGAAGATTAAGAAAGGCGAGAGTCTCTAAAGATAGATGGGAACGTTTTCTGCCTTCAGGTTTCCAATGACAAGTTCAAAGAAGCCTTTTTCTTCTGTCTGGATGTCTGCAGATATTGCACAAATACTTTCCATTCCCCCCCACCTCAGAAATATTCTGTATTTCTGAATAGCGACAGTTCAGATCTAATTCACTGTGTGAAAAGAAAAGAAAACGTAATTCCTGTGGCTACCCCTCTAACCAGGATGTAAAGTGATTCAGTGTGAGAATTTACTTTTTACTTTAATGGGACTTTCTGCAGTGGACAAAAAAAGCCATGCCAATATAGAATTATTTTCTTAAACTGCATAAAAGATCAGAAAAAAAACAACGGATTTATTTTAAAACATTTTAAAGAAAATTGGCATTTTATTTTAAAAATGCCAATGCTTTTGTTACTTAAATGTGACTTACAACAGTTCGATTAGTGACTGTTTGAAGTTACAACGCACTGAGTTACGACCGTTTTTCACACTTATGACCATTGCAGCATCCCCATGGTCACGTGATTTATATTCGGATGCTTGGCAACTGGTTCATACTTATGACCATTGCAGTGTCCCGGGGTCATGTGATCAGCTTTTGTGACCTTCTGACAATCAAAGCCAATGGGGATGCCAGATTCACTTAACAACCCGGTTACTAATTTAACAATTTCAATGATTCAGTTAACAACTGCGGCAAGACAAGTGATAAAATGGGGCAAAACTCACTTTAACAAATTTTTCACATAAATTTTGGGCTCAGTTGTGGTTTTAACTTGAGGGCCACGTACAGACGATCCTCGACTTATGGCCACCATTGAACCCAAATTTTCTCTTGTTAAGTGAGAAATTTGTTAGGTGAGTTTTGCCCCGTTTTACGGCCTTCCTTGGCACAGTTGTTAAGTGAATCACTGCCGCTGATAAGTTAATAAGCCGGTTGTTAAGTGAAATCCCCACTGACTTTCCTTCTGAGAAGGTCACAAAAGGTGAGATCCCATGACCTTGGGACACATCAAACGGTCATAAATATGAATCAGTTGCCAAGTGTCCGAATTTTGCTCAAATCATTGTGGGGATGCTACACAGGTCATAACAGTGAAAAATAGTCGTAAGTCATACTTCAGTACCGTTGTAACTTTGAACAGTCGCTAAACAAAACCGTTGTAAGTCAAGGACTACCTATAACTTTAAGAAAATACCTAACAGAATTATAAAATACAATTGTATTCGATCACATTTATGCAAAAGACTGTCTTATATTCTGGACTACAGACTATATTACAACATATTTGTATTTTCCCTAGATGTCTCATTCTTTTAAGCACTGAGCAGTTTGAAATTTCTATGCTAAATAAAAAAGAAAAATCGTGAAATGAGTTTTTGGTTCTCTTTGGGGTTATGGTAGTTTTTTTAAGCTCCATCTCTTTTCCTAGATGACTACTTTATGTGACTAAAATGACTGCACTAAAAGTCTAATGCAATAAGTAAAGTTGTTCTTAACAATACTTGTAAAGAAGTGAGTTAAAAATACAAGCATCTGACGTGGTCGTGGATTCCGATACAAATTTATGATGCTTCCACATTTGCCATTGTTATAAAGAATTCAAAAAACATCGCTGCCTTTGTGTTTTCTCTGCTATTTATTTATATATGTATGTATTTATTTATTCAATTTATTTATTTAACAATATATTTATTGATTTGTTTTTGTAGCACTAACCCATTCACCAGGCAAATACTGATGAATAGAGTTGTGGAAAGCTTTGGATCCAAAGGCCAAAAAAGGCTTTGGTTTCAAAACATATGGGTGTGTGCGTGTATGGAAATATTGTCTTTTTTGGCAGCTGCAGAGAGTTGTTGTGTCATCTTGGAAAAAGATGCAGCTGTTGTAAGATGTAAGATGCAGCTTCTTCTATAGTAGGTAGATGCTACATTTCTTTCACTTTGGTCTGTGAAGCACTGTATAGTCCAGCTGATACAGCTTGTGTCACTCACAGGTTTCTTTTTGCTGCTTCTTTTTTAAAGACCAGCTAACTATAGTCCGTAGTCTAGAACTATAGTCTAGTCCAGGAGCTGCAGTGGCACAGTGATTAGAATGCAGTATTGCAGGCTAATTCTGCTGACTGCCAGCAGTTCGATCCTGAAGGGGCTTAAGGTTTGACTCAGCCTTCCATCCTTTCCAAAGTGGGTAAAATGAGGACCCATCTTGTTGGGGACAATATGCTGATTCTGTAAACTGCTTAGAGAGGGCTGTAAAGCACTATGAAGCGGTATATAAGTCTTAAGTGTTATTGCTATTGTTTTGAGTTCACTTAATTGAACTATTATCTTTTCCAGAATTATTTCTTGATTAGTCTGTTTCGGTTCTCTATAATCAGGGTAGTGGACTTACTAAGTATGCTTCACAATTCCTTCTCTGCAGCCAAGGAACTGTTTATTGATTTTTTTTTAATGCTGTTTTGCAGCATTAAATATATACTCCATTTGCATACCGCACAAATAATAGCAGGCATATTTTGTATGTGCCAGATTTTCCACTATGAAAGGACCTCTGTTCTCTACCCTTATCAGAGTCATTTTGTAATTACAAAGTCTTTATCCAGTATCTTATTGCTTCTGGACAGCTTGTTATCATCTGTATGCTTAGATCCATCTTCTAGGATCACAATGATATTTATTTGGTTTCTATGCCATTCTAATCATAACTCCTCTCGAACAGCCTACAGTCCAATAATTAATCACATAATTAAAGCAGTATATAACAATATCAAGATACATTTCCCAAAAGGAGGAATAACCTATAGGTAAAAGATATTCATCCACCATGAAGGAACAAAAAAACAGCTGTCTGGGCCTTAAAGGACCATTGAAAAAGACAAATTTTAATGGGGGTGTAGAAAGCTAGATGACTTGCCAGCCTGTCTGATATCGGGGGAGACGTTGCTCCAGAGAAGGTGGGATATGGCTAAGGAGGACTGGATTTGAGATACCTGCAGATGGCACTCCCTAAGGGTTTGGATCCAGAGAGAACCTTCTCTCATATCTTAATGGAAGACAGTTAGGAGTAGCTAATCCCATGGATCTATCTAGGTCCTGGAAGAGGCAAGGTTTTAAAAGGGACAAACAGCAACCCAGAAGCATATTGGTAATAAGTGCAACTGCTGAAGCAAAGTGTCTATGGAGATTCTCAGTTATTCAGATCATGGTTGTCCCAAATGTGTTTTTTCTTGAGGCAACTGGACTTTCTGGTTTTTCTTTGAAGACATTTCACTTCTCATCCAAGAAGCTTCCTTCAGCTCTGAAGAAACTTCTTGGATGAGAAGTGAAATGTCTTCAAAGAAAAACCAGAAAGTCCAGTTGCCTCTGGAAAAAACACACTTGGGACATGTTGAAGCAAAGGTATTACATCGGGAAACCAAGTGATGCTCATAAGAATTTAAGACACTGTTCTGGACCAACTGAGGCTTCCAAGCGGTCTTCAAAATCAGTCCGATGGAGCGTGTACTGCAATTGTCCAAACAAATAGTGAAACAATCCGTTTCTTAAAATACAAAACAGCTGGTCACTGTTTCCTTTGAAAAGCATTTATACTACTCTGAATTGAAACTAATTGAAAATAGTTTTTCCCTTGTCTGGTTTTGCTGTTTGCTTCCACTATATATTGTTTTTGATATATTTGGTGTGCTGTGTGCTATCCAGAGTGTTTTGGAGCTAAATGACATCAAATCAATCAGTAAAACTGAAACTTGGAACAAAAGGGCCATTTGATAATTGTTCAGAATTTGCAACCATAAAGACACCTAACCATTGCCCAGTAGTGCTTCTGTCTAGGGCAGGGGTCCCCAAACTTGGCAACTTTAAGACTTGTGGCTGGAGAATTCTGGGAGTTGAAGTCCACAAGTCTTAAAGTTGCCAAGTTTGGGGACCTCTGGTCTAGGGAAAAGAGAGCTCTGATGACCATAAAACAGTTCAGTTGATTTCTGCAATGGTCATTTTTACAATTAACATCTACTTGTATAAAGATAAAAATATACATTACACCAGGTTACATATACCAGACTAAGTATAATACATTCTCATGAATTTCTAGACATGTTTAATGATTTTGTTTACAAGTTAAACTCTCTTCAATAGGTAACATATGTTTGTTCTAGTTTCTGAGCATGTGATTGTGTTTAAGATAACATAGATTAATTATAGATTCATGTATTATTAGAGCTGTGCATGAGGGGTGTGTGAACATAATACCTGTCTGCAATTCTTTTAAAGTAATCTTGTCCCTGAATTGCAGAACTGTTTACGTAACATTGCCACATGATTTTAATCAGAATTTTTGAGTATCTTACCCAGGAAGAAGTTGGCCACTGACGAATGGATTGTCTAGATTCATCATTTTTGTCTTTTGGGAATGATCTCATTACATGAAGTTGGGGTGGGGGGTGGGGGTCATTCCTCACAGGACTTTGTATACTTGAGCACCCCTGTCCTACAAGATGTGATAAAGTTCTCTCACTTCCTGCCTAGTGGGATGACAAACCTCCCTGAAATGAGCAAGAGTGTTGGACCAGTGACACCTTTGGAAAGAACCCCTGGTTAGTCATGGCAGCGATAACAACTTCAACAGTTCAAGCAAGGCAATTCTATTAAAGATGTTGAGGTTCCCCAGAAGTGACACACACACACCCCGACACACAAGAGTCCTTAATACCAAATCTGAAATTACCTCTATCAAATGAATAGAGTAGTGAGAAATCCTGTGTATTCCAAGTGCCTAATAGAAAATACATCGTAGATCAGCACTTGCCTGGAAAGAGAAGTTGAATTCCTACATAGTACGGCAACTGCTTCTCCATAATTCTGATTTGTTCTGCTCCCAAGCTAAGTATCTATGATAGAATATGGAGAGAGAATACATAAGCACACCAGCTCTCTGACCAGGCGTTAGTAATACATGACAAACCAGCCCTTTAATTCACCATCAAATTGTACGTGAGATAGATCTTATTATTAATTGACCTGGCATTCATCAATAACACCTCCAATTCAGAGGGTGATCCAGTCTATGTAACATAATCCATCCGGGCAAGAGAATAAGCAGAAGAGAGGCAGGCATATAATTCTTCTAATCCAGGGCCGGATGCATCACACTATGGCCATGGCCACGCCCGGTTTAGCAAAGAGGGGGAAAGTC